CCTGTATAGATACAGCTTATATCTTCCTAGTGTAGATACAGAGTGCTTTTGCTGGTGTAAGTCTCTACACTAGATCTGTTGCCCATATAAAAAAATTAAAACAAAACAAAAAAAAATCACACAGCTAAGTGAGGTTATTATACTGGCAAAAGTTTCTAATGTTGACCAGGCCTTAGATGTCCTGCAACATGTGTGGGCCAGCCTTAACTTTCACTACAAACACTGAATTTACTTTTGGAAGTAACTAAAGCAGCCATACAAGAAGACAAAGGTATATTTAAAGTGTTTCCAAACCAGAGTGAAGTGCCATGCAAAATTTTTACTGGGCTGTATCCATGGAAACCCCCACCTGCCCCGGTCTAATCACAATCACCTTAAATGTATATACTTTCTTTCTACTCAAAAGCTTTGCATACGAATGAAGAGGGCTCAGTTCACTCAGCTATGAAATGGAATCAGTTCTGGAATGGAACATAGCAGCTATTTAACCACAAAGAGTAATGACAACTATTTGAGCTTGGAAATTAAGACTATTATATCCAAGTAAAACTAGAGGGTGATTTATATTTTTAATGAGTTGGAGTTAAAGACACCAGGGTTAACGCTCACTATCTCAGGAAAAGTGGTCATTGAAAGGTTAAAGTTATGAGCCTGGGTTTTACATCTTATCCAATAATGATCAAGCCAAACTCTTAATTTTACAGATATCAGATCACAGCACAAAGCAATGGGGCTGTTTCCTATTAATTGGACTGAGTTGGGCTGTAGTGGAGAAGGGTTGATACCAGAGGAAAGAAAACAAAATTAACTGCTGTCAAAAGACAGTGAGGGCTATGACAAAGGACTCAACCCTAAGGACTACTGATAGACATCTTCTTAACTTACAACTTGTGTTTGGACCAAGATTTTAAAAACTTTACCAGTGCCAAAAAGAGATGAGCAAGATTCTTAAAGCTCAAATGTTAACACATTGTTTTTGCATGTATAGTTTAAACTTCCTCCTAGGTCCTCTCCCATAACAGTCTTTCAAGCTAAGAGACATTAAAAAAAAAAAAAAAAAAAGGACGTTGTAGTAAGAGGAGGCCCTGAGAGATAAACCTTGGTATCAGAGGCCCAGTATGAGGCCTAAGGCCTGAGCTAAAGTAATGGTCAAGACTTCGCTAACATAAAGCAAAGTTAAGCTGTGAGCCAGAGGCAGGCCCTGCTCACAGAAGCTGGCAAGGAAAGGGCTGATGCTGCAAAAAGAGACATTCCTAACAGGTACTGGACACCAGATATCAGAACATTCACTATACGGGAACATTCCACAGATAACATGGAACAGGCCGACCCATCCCAATGGCAGGGGCAAAAGGGTAAAATGATGGATAGAGTTGTTTTGATCGAACCAACATGTACAAGGTGAGAGGCGGCACCTTACTACGTAGAGGGGTTGTACCTTGCTGCGTAGAGGGGCTGCACCTCAATACATCAGGAGTAACGTGTAACTTGTTTGTACCTGTGTATAAGAATGTGTCCCTGGGGTGGTGTCTTTGTCCGGCCGAGGGGGCAGTGGAAAGTCCCGCCACTGACTGAGCCGGGTCCATTGCCAAGAGGCATCTATTAGTAGTATGCCCGGTAGACTAAGTAACCTACGGGGAACTGCAATTGTGTCCAAGGTCGCAATAAACCTAGTCGACGTGACTTTGCATCTTACTAGACTCTGTGGTTATTGGGGGTTCTCGTCAGGTTTGCTGTGTCAGCTATCTGCAGAGCTGGGACCGCACAAAGAGGGAACACACGCGCGCAGCCGAGTGATATCAACACAGGAGAAAGCAGAGCACCACACTGGTAGCATCTGACAACAGACGTAACTTGGTTTAGCTGTCTACATAACCAAAACATCCCACTCCCAGTGGGCAGCTTAGGTTACACGAGGAACTAGAATCAACTGTTTGTTGGTGGCAGGTGGATGTATTACTTGTGATTTCTGGCAGAAGAGACTTGACTTAAAGAGAAGTATCTAAAAGGAGTCTAGATGTTACTAAAAGTACTTACTTACTAAATTTAGTAAGTAAGCTGAAGCCTAGAGAGTGCCTCATTAAACAACATGATTGGCCAATCCATACAGTTAACCACCTCCAAAGGTTATTGCTTCAGTCATGACAGCATACCACCACCAGAGATGGGAATGTAAACAAGTTCCATACCCAAATGCTGAACTTTCATTGATTTAGAGGGAACAAGTGACTTGTTTGTTAAAGTTATCACTTCTGAAGTTAGGATGTGTATCTATCTGAAACAACATATTAGCAACTAGATACCAGAACATGCAACATTGCATGGTACTAGACAGTTAAAGAGGAGCTGGTAACGAGCAGCTACACCTGCACAAGCTGTCTATTCCTCATGTGAAGTCAATCTTCTGTATGGCAATTTTTTTTCACATTTGTCAATATTAATAAGAGGTTTATGATTTCACTTCAAAATAAGACCTCAGTTACAATACTCCAGTTTACAGATTGAGTTTATGAATGAAACACTGAGCATTTAACTTCTAGAAAAATTCAAGAAACTTTTGTGCTTGCTCATTCTGTAAAATTAAGTACCAAATAATGAGGAAGCATCTTTCCTTTGAACTCAAGAGAAACACGTGTTGGCTGCAACAGAATTTCCTTTAAAAGACTTTATTGCACTAGTTCCTGACATTGCCACTTTTCTTCTAAAAACTCAAGTTTCCCCAGCTTGGCAGAATGCAGGGGGATACGAGCTTGCACAACTGCAACTCATTCTCACGAAAGGGCAGGTTTCTGCCGAGTACTCAATATGCTGGACCTATCGCACCTGTTTCATAGGTTCCAAAGCCAGAAGGGACCACCCTGATCACCTAATCACTTTAATGACTCTCAGGCCATGTCTACACTACCACTTTTGTCAGTATAACTTATGTCGCTCAGAGGTGTGAAAAAACTGACAGAAGCGCCACTGTGGCCAGCGCTACGTTGGCGGGAGAGCTTCTCCCACCAACACAGCTACCGCGACTCGGGGGTGGTTTTATTGTATTGACGGGAGAACTCTCTCCCGCCAGCATAGAGCAGCTACATAAGCAATCTTACAGGGGCGCAGCAGCATCGGTACACCTGTACTACTGTAAGCTCGCTAATGTAAACATGGCCTCACTCTTAAAAATTTACACCTTACTACCAGTCTGAATTTGTCTAGCTTCAAATTCCAGCCATTGGATCGTGTTAGACCTTTCTCTGCTAGACTGAAGAGCCCACCATTAAATATTTGTTCCCCACATAGATATTTATAGACGGTAATCAAGTTACCCTTTAAACTTCTTTGTTAATCAAAACAGACTGAGCTCCTTGAGTATTACTATAAGGCATGTTTTCTAATCCTTTAATTACTCTCACAGCTCTTCTCTGACCCCTCTCCAATTTATCAACATCCTTCTTGAATTGAGGACTCCAGAACTGGACACAGTATTACAGCAGCAGTCACACCAGTGCCACATACAGAGATAAAATAACCTCTCTACTCGTACTACTGTTCAGGAAATACAGTCCTACAATGGTTTGTCTACACACATAAGTCGTACCAATTTAACTATAGTGGTATAGCCTGCTCTGAGTTATACCTGGGGTTCTCAAGCTTCATTGCACCACGACCCTCTTCTGACAACAAACATTCCATCATGACCCCAGAAGCAGGGACCGAAGCCTGAGTCTGCCCAAACCCTGCTGCCCCAGGTGGTGGTGGTCAGGGGGACCAAAGTCAAAGTCTGAATCCCACCACCCCAGGGGCCAAAGCGGAAGCTCAATGGCTTCAGCTCTGGGCGGGCGGGGGGGAGGGGGCCTGTAACCTGAGCCCTGTCACTCAGTCACACATCCCAGGGCTGAAGCCCTTGGGCTTGGGCCCAGGGCGGTGGGGCTCAGGCTTCGGCCTTGGGCAGCATGGCTCAGGCTTCAGCTCCGGGCCCCAGCATGTCTAACGCCAGCCCTGGTGACCCATTACAACGGGGTCCCAACCCACAGTATGAGAACCACTGATTTATACCCATATGTCGGTGCTTATACTTACTCCCGTAAAAGAAGGGGAATAACGTACACCAGTATAAGGCTCCTTACAACTGCATCAGCACTTGGAGCTGTACGGATATAATTATTTCAATTACAAAAGTTACCCCCCTAAACAAAATAGTTATACTGCTTTAAAAACTGTTTAGACAGTCCCAAGGGTCTAATGCTTAAAGAGCACTCCTGTGGTCTTTTCACAGGTACAAGGAGTGTAAGGTCTTTTCGAAGCAAAAGAGTTGCACCAGTTTCAGTTAAAGTATTCTTTTTAAGCCAGTAGAAATTCCTGTGTATCTATTCTTGTAGCGGTTTAAGAGTGGGTTATTTTGGTTTAAACTCAGTAAGAGTGCTTATACCGCCTCGCTTACCTTTTAAAAAGGTCAGTTCAACTCAAACCTTAAATTAAACCATTGCAACTTTCTCGTTTAATGAAGCTCTAAGAGAAAGCTGGGAAGATCAAATACGCTACTCAAAGCCACAGGCTCAATGTTAGGTAGTTCACCTCTATTAACCAGAACAGGCAAATATTCCCCTGGGAGCATCCGGAAAGATGCATCTTGGGCCTTAACTGATGCTACACTGGGCGCTCGGCTAGGGGAGGCTGTGTTACCTGTGCCCCGTTTTCCTCCAAAATGCTTCCCGCCCTCCCCCCTCCGAGCCGCCCCAAAGATCAGCCAGGGGCGCTCGTTAGCCAGGGCTCAGAGATTACCCCTCGCAGGGCCGCCCGGGGCTCCCTTGTCCCACCGCCTCCCGGGCGCGGCATGCGGCTCTCCGGGGCCGAAGGCCATGTCCGGCGGCTGCGCTGGCGAGAGGAGCCGAGCCCAGGGGACACCCCGCGCAGGGAGCGGGCCGAGCCCCGGCGGCGAGGGGCTCCGGGCCCAGCCCCCCCGGGACAAAGCCGGGCCCCGCCCCCGGCCGCGCGCCCCAGGCCCCGCCACTCACCGGGCTCCAGCAGATGAGCGGGTCGGTGTCGGGATCCTCCACCAGGGTCCACAGCTTGGTGAGGAAGGCGGGGACGTTGCTGCCGCCGGGGCCCGCGCCCCCCCCAGCCGCCCCGGGGCCCTCCATCCCCTCGGGGCCGGGGCTCAGCGCACGGGGCCCGGCCGCGGGCCCACGAGAGGCCGGGGCTGGCCGAGGCCCAGGAGCGCCGCAGGAGGCCGCGGGGCCCAGCCGCCGAGACAGAGGCGGGGGTCCCGGCTCGCCGAGGCTGGTTAGCGCCGCCTCCCCCCGCCGCGGGGCCCGGCCGCGGCCTGCGCACTGACCCCCCCGGAGCCCAGCATGGCCGCCGCCATCTTGGGACGCCTCACGGTGACGGCCAAGCCCCCTTCTGAGCCAGCCGGGCGCATGCGCGGCCCTCCTCACTCTCTCCACCCCGTCCCTGGCAGGCCCAGAGCTCTGCGCTTGCGCTATCTGCCTCGGGCGCGCTTCCCCCTTCCCAAGCGCAGGCTGGAGTGAGGCGCATGCGTACGGCGCGCCCAGGTGAGCGGGGGAATGATAGAAAGCGCATGCGCTGGAGCCGCTGATTCCTCTGACCTTTGACCCCTTGGCCCCGGTCCGCTTGGGACCGGACTGTTTTTCTCAGCCGTGCGGCGCAGAACGGCCTGTCCCCCGGGATAGCCCGCTCCCCTGGGGAGAAACCGGGAAATATTCCCGAGTACCGCGGGAGGGGGCGGGGCACCGTGACCTCTGACCTCCGCGCACGTGGTGTGAGGAGGAGGAGCAGCGCGGCGCACGCGGGACTCGTGGAGCCGCAGCTGGAGGAGCTTCCTGCCGGGAAGGAGCCATGGAGCGGGCGGGGGGGAGCCGCCGGGTGAGGCGGGGGCTCGTGCTGGGGGGAGGGGAGCGGGCGTAGGGACTCCTGGGGTGGCGGCGCGGGGGGGGGTCTAGTGGGGAGT